AAATAGGGCAGCCCCCGGTGGCTCAGCGGTTTAGCGCCACCTTCGGCCTGGGGTGTGATCCTGGAGACCCGGGATCGAGTCCCACGTTGGGTTCCCTGCATGGAGCCTACTTCTCTCTCTCTCTCTGCCATGAATAAATAAAATCTTAAAAAAATAAAATAAAATAAAATAACATAAAATCTTAAGGGGCACCTGGGTAGCTCAGTGATTGAGTGTCGGAAGTCATGATCCCGGGAGTCATGGGATCGAGTCCCACATCAGGGAGCCTGCTTCTCCCTAATGCCTGTATCTCGACTTCTCTCATGAATAAATAAAATCTTAAAAAATAATAATAAATAAGAATTAAATCTTAAAATTATACCCACATGCTGAAAAAGAATCCTTTAGTATCGGGGATCCCTAAGTGGCACAGTTTAGCACCTGCCAGGGCTCAGGGCATGATCCTGGAGTCCCGTGATTGAGTCCTGCATCGGGTTCCCTGCATGGAGCCTGCTTCTCCCCCTGCCTGTCTCTGCCCCCCCCCCCCCCCCCGTCTCTCTCATGAATAAATAAAATCTAAAAAAAAAAAAAAAGAATCCTTTAGTGTCACTCAAAATCAACAAAAGCCATCTGAAAGGATAGGACACTTTTTGGGGGTTAAATTTAAAACCCACCACAGGTGGGGATCCCTGGGTGGCTCAGCAGTTTAGCGCCTGACTTTGGCCCAGGGCGCGATCCTGGAGTCCCGGGATCAAGTCCCACATCGGGCTCCTGGTATGGAGCCTGCTTCTCCCTCCTCCTGTGTCTCTGCCTCTCTCTCTCTCTCTCTCTCTCTATCATAAATAAGTAAGTAAATAAATCTTTTAGAAATAAATAAATAAAACCCACCACAGGAACACTACAAATACAAAAAGTATTTGTCTTACAAATTAGTAAGACAAACTAAGAGGACACAAAGTTACAAAGGTACCAAGTCATCTTTACTTTTTCCTTTCTCTTCCCTCATCACCCCCCCTCCCGTCAGTAACATCAATCTTAACTCCAAAACAGGCACCTCCAAGTCACACCTCTACATCAGCCTTGTGACTTATATGTCATCAGCCACCATCATTTTGCACCCAGATAATTGTAACAACCCCACTCCCCTGCTTCAAACTCCTTCCATGGCACCCACTGTGCTTTTAAAAAAAAAAAATATTTTATTTATTTATTCATGAGAAAGAGAAAGAGAGAAAGAGAGAAAGAGAGAGAGAGAGAGAGAGAGAGGCAAAGACATAGGCAGAGGGAGAAGCAGGCTCCATGCAGGGAGCCCGACATGGGACTCGATCCCGGGACTCCAGGATCAGGCCCTGGGCCAAAGGCAGGCACCAAACCGCTGAGCCACCCAGGGATCCCCCCCACCCACTGTGCTTTAAATAAAATCCAATTTCCTTATCTTGACCATTACATCTCCTACCTCTTCTTAGACCCCACTCCTTCATTTAAGTACCACACTCCCAACGCAGTGGCTATCTTTCTCATCTCAGGACTTTCTGTAAGCTCTTCCTGCACTCTTAGCCCAAGCCTTCCCAAGGCTTGCCTCTTCTCTACCCTTAGGTAGCTTTGTGCTCTCTGATCACACTACATCAGGTAGGTCCCTCCTATTATATTCTCTGCTCAGCTTCATTTCCTTCATAGTATTTATTAATCTTGTAAGTATTTTTTACTTATTTTCCTACTTTTCAGTTTTGTCTCTTCCAGTAAAATAGAGACAATCTGACATTCATTGCTCTCAGTCCCTACCACTGGGATATAACTCTTGTAAATATCTAATTTTTATTTATTTATTTATGAGAGAGAGAGAGAGAGAGAGAGAGAGAGACGCAGAGACATAGGCAGAGGGAGAAGCAGGCTCCATGCACCGGGAGCCCGATGTGGGATTCGATCCCGGGTCTCCAGGATCGCGCCCTGGGCCAAAGGCAGGCGCCAAACCACTGCGCCACCCAGGGATCCCTCTTGTAAATATTTAAATAAAAATATAAAATTAGGGGTGCCTGGGTGGCTCAGTCAGTTAAATGTCTGCTCTCGGATTGGGTCATGATCCCAGGGTGTTGGGATCCAGCCTCACATAGGGCTCCTCGCTCAGTGGGGAGGTCTGTCACTCTCCCTCTCCATCTGCCTCTCCCCCAGCTCATGCTCTCTCTTGCTCTCAAATAAATAAATAAAACCTTATAAAAAAAATATAAAACTAAATGTTATTCCAATAACAGACTAGATTCCAATAACATTCCAAGATCAGACTAGAAAACAAGCATCAATCCTTAAATTCCGAGGAAGTCATACAGTCATAATTTTTCACTAAGCAAAATTTTAAAATGAACTTTTACCTAAGGGGTATGAAACTCTGGCCTTAAGAGCTCAGTTTTGCTGCCTAGAAAACTAAACCACTTGATTTATCTTGTCTGGGGTGCGAAGAAGCATTAAACTGACTTGCTTTTGGCCAAGGCTTTACATGGTACCTCTAGTTTTCTATAAAGGCTGATATATCAAACCCATCTTCAGATTTCAGGCTTGAGGAAGACAATTCAAAGATTAAGTAAATCCAGTCTGCATCTAATTCTACCAGAATTGTGATTGCCCTCTGAGATATCAGCAGAAAATAAAAAACTAAATTACAGCAACATGCCTGGGGCAGACAGTGAAGAGGAGAAACAATTACAGCTGCATGTAAATGGGAGGGTCAGGGAAAGGCCCTATTATTTGAGGGGTCTGGAACAACAGCTAAGATTTCAATAGGTGAGGAGTGGGGTAGGGTTAGGCAGTCAACTGAAGAGCCAGCAGCCCACCCAACAGCTGGAGCAAAGGTACAAAGGTGTGAGAAGGTACGCAGGAATGGCTACCAGGAATTAAGTGAGTTGCCTAGCGGGACTGCACTAAGGGAAGAACGAGGTGGGGAATAACAGAAAGTTATGTCTGGTATCTGGGAAGACACATGTGTGAAAAATGTGGAGTTGTTTTTGTTGGGTCATGGGAACCCCTGCAGCATATTCCTTTTTCTCTCTCTAGTCCCTAGAAGGGGATCAAACCATTTACTCACACCTTCTGAAACAGCTGTATTATAGTACCTGTTACTTCAAAGCAAGCACAATGCCTTGCACATATAGCATGGCTTAGTGCATGAAAATAATGATATAATTCACCTCCATGAGTTGGAGAAGTAATTCATTTGAACATATTAAAAATCTCATTTTAGTTGGTTCTAATACTCTCTCCAACCTCTTATATCAGAATATACCATGCTCCACGTCGACTCCAATTACCAGCATCTTTGGGGACCTGGAGATTTCACCAATCAGATTCTTGGTGCTTAGGCCATTGTTATAACACTATTTGATTTATAATCACTTTCTCCCAGTTTTTAAAGTCCATTTACTTCAGCAGTTAATCTTACAGTCATTATACTGTCATGGCTTTGTTTCCTCTCTCTTATTCCACAGAAGCAACACTTAGGCATCCAGTGGGCGCTCCTTAATTATTATAGCTTTTAATGGTTAAAGCTCAGTGCAACATCTTATCAGCAAATCTATAAAATCAGAAATACGTCATTCCAAAAAAAAAAATCTATATCAACAGCCTATTCCTTTTAAACATAAGTTCAAGCAAAATGGACAGCAAAATACTTTTCATTAAAAAAAAAATTCCAAGCAATTTCTTCAGTTCAAATTTGACATAATTTAAATAAAAGAAACGTGATAAAATACTAAAAACAAATTAAAGCAAGTAATCAAATAAAATAATGCATTTTACTTAGAAAAGAGAATGCTGGGGATCCCTGGGTGGCGCAGCGGTTTGGCTCCTGCCTTTGGCCCAGGGCGCGATCCTGGAGACCCGGGATCGAATCCCACATCAGGCTCCCGGTGCATGGAGCCTGCTTCTCCCTCTGCCTATGTCTCTGCCTCTCTCTCTCTCTCTCTCTCTGTGACTATCATAAATAAATAAAAAATTAAAAAAAAAAAAGAAAAGAGAATGCTGCTTGCTTTAAATTCTTAAACTTACAAATGTACAAAAGGTATACCTAAAATTAAACTAGGACAGAATTAAAGTATCGCTCAAAAATTTCCTTAGTAATTTACATTCTAGCTTCATTCTTCTTTAGAATATAATCAAATATATTTCTGGCCTATCAATGGTCCACCCTGGGGGTAAACTATAAAATAAAAACTCAACAAATGCGTCCTCTCTAAGGCCAATGCATCTTCTTTTTAAAATTTCTGTTAGTTGGGATGCCTAAGTGGCTCAGCGCTTGAGCGCCTGCCTTTGGCTCAGGGTGTGATCCCGGGTTCCCAGGTTTGAGTCCCACATCAGGCTCCTTGCATGCAGCCTGCTTCTCCCTCTGCGTCTGTCTTTCTGTCTCTCTCATGAATAAGTAAAATCTTTAATAAAATAAAATTTGTTAGTTATAAAACAAAAGGTGTCTGGGTAATTCAAATTTAGCACCAAGGTATCCTACATAGTTCCGCCACTTCACTGTGAAAGGTTTTGTTCCTAAACGCTCAAGCATTTTCATTTGTCGATTGTTCCAAAGGCTGCAGTCCAACAGTTCTTAAACTGGAGCACGGAGCCCAAGAACCTTGAACGGTGTGCAAAGTTGTGTGTACGTGCATTTTTAGGGAGGGAGAACGCCACGGCTGCCCTGAGATTCTCAAAAAAAGGCTTAAAAACAACAAAAACGTCTCGATTAGGATAACCCAATAGATAATGTGATGAACGGCACAAAGCGGGCATTTTAACCAGGCAACCGCCGTTACACAGGTTTAAAACCCATCCCCTCATCCAACAACCCAGATCCTGGCACTAACCTTCCGTTCAGAATGCCTTCTGGAAAACAATTTGGTTCAGAATGGGGTGAAACGAGTTCAATCCCGCTCCCGCCACCCCCCTACCCGGCGGTCGATCCCCAGCGAACCAGCCCCTGCCGTTCTCGACCCTCCGCCGCGGTCCGAGGGGGGCTGTGCGCGCGGGGAGTGCGGGCGCTCGCGTACCTGGGCGCGGGCTCGATTAGGGTGGTGGTGTCCAGGTAGTGGATCTTGTAGAACTCCAGCAGGGCCGGCAAGTGGTCAAACTCCTGGTCCCCGATCTTAAAACGGCGGTTGGGCAGCGAGTTGATGATGTAGTGGGAGACCCGCGAGTTCTCGGACACCGACAGCACATAATCCCCAGGGCAGGTGGAGGAATCGCGAACTAGGAACATTCCGTGGCGCTGGCCCTGCAGCCGGGTCTGCGCCTCCTGGCGAGACACCGGCCCCATGTACCAGGAGGAGCGGTCTGAGGAGTCGAACCTGGCGGAGGACATGGTGTCTGGCCGGGGCTCTGCGGCGACTCCGGGCGGCGGCTACTCTCGGCTGTTCTGGACGCCTTCGCCCGACAGACGGCTCTGCGGCCAAGGAAGGGCCTCTTGGCACACCTCAGGGCGCGCTTAGAGGGCCGAGCCAGCACCTTCCTCTCGGCTCCGGGCCCGCAGCATCCTCTGCCGCCGTCCGCCTGCTCCGGGGCCGCCTCACGGACGGAGCCGGCCCGGGGAATGCAGGGCACAGCCGGAGGTCGGGGCGGGCGAAGCTGAGCCGCAGCGGAGGCCGCCCCGGGGTTCTGGGGCTGCCCGGCGTACCGGGGGTGCCTCCAGCCACTCCTGGCCCGGAACGCGCCGACTCCGCGCCCCCCAAGGCTCTGCACTGATCCTCGCCGCCACGCGAAGCACCGGACTCCCAGGAGCGTCGCGCCTCCGGGGCGGTTTCGCCCAGCCCGTTCCCAAGAGCCACAGCAACAAAATGGCGGACGCGGGACAAGCGGCCGGCCACCTCCCCCTCCGCTCAGCGCGCTCGGTCTGCGCACGCGCGAGCTCTGGCTCTCAGCTGCCGCCCAGGCCCGCCCCGTGACGTCGCGCGGCGCGGCCAATCAGGAGCGCGGTCGTGACGGTCGGGGCGTGCGCCGCGCTCCGCCGCTCCCGCGTTCCGGGAGGAGGCGGAGGCGGCCGGGGAAGCGGGGGAGGCGAGGAGGTAGAGGCGGCGGAGGAGGAGGTGGCGGTAACGGCCACTCCCTTCGTGGGCTGCGGTGCGCCGCCGGGGGCGCTGCCGCTGCGGGCTCCCCCCCGGCTCCGGCTGGAAAACAGCTGGAGTCGAGAGGGAGCGGCGTTTCGAAAACCTCCGCGAACAAAGCAGAACGTCCATGCAGAACCTCTGGCCGTGGAGGCGTGGCACTGCGGTGACCTGGCTGGCCCAGGGGCCCCGGGGGACCCGCGCTGAGGGAGACCCGCGGGCGGACACGCCTTGGTGGGTCGAGGTGGCTCTGGAAGGACGCGACCGCGGGGGCTGACGTGACCGAAGCCGAGGTGGCCTGATAGGCTCAGGGACCCAGAGTGGCCGGGAAACTCGACAGCCGCGAATAGGGGTTGTGAAGGTCGGAGCGACAGGATTGAGTGGCCCAAGGAAGTCCACCGCCTGGTGCAATCTGGCCATCATTAGCGCTTAACTGATGAAATGCGGACTCCCCCGGGTGTGGCCCGAAGATCCCGTCCGGTTGCAGTTCTGCAGCTTCTCGAGCTAATCTCCTCGCATGCCCGCCCCCTGGCTGACCTGCTTCGGCCGGTCGTGGTGGCCTGTTTCTCCACCCTGCCTCTCCTCCCCGCGATGAAATTTTAAGAAATCAGGGATCTTGTCTGTCTTGCTCGCTTCTGGGCCTAGCACAAGGTCTGGACCTGACCTGATGCTCAAATATTTGTTGAATGAATTGACTTTTGAAAAAAAAAATCCTCAGGCTATTGGTGCCCGATTATTGGTAGCACCACCCCTAGAACTGGACAGACGAGAAAGCCTGTCCAGAAAGGGAGACGCCGGCAATAACAAACCTATACAGATCCCTTTGTCAGTGGAGTTTCATTTCGGCGCTTGCAGCCCTCAGGTTGAACATACACCTAATTCTAGGGTGATGGGTGATATCCAGCTTAGGGTAAGCTAAAGGGGAAATGTCAAGGGTTAGTGCATTTTGTGACTCAGCATAAGCAGGTTTTCAATCCCCTCCACCCCAATATTGTCATGTATTATTCTCAGGTTGAAACTGACTGGACTCAAATTCTGCTCCCAGTTGACTAGCTGGGTGACCTTGGGCCATGGCTCATATATTAAACAAGCTAATACATATAAAGTGCTTAGAATAGTGCCTGACACGTATTAAACCTCATGTAAGAGATTTTTATTATTTCTATTCAGCCTCTACTTGGGCTCCCACCTCCATAGCCTAAAAGAGTGCAGATCTCTCAATGGATCGATGAGGGTCAGGAGAACTACCTTTTTATTACCAGATTTTACCATTTTATCATCAGCCACTCCTTGCCCAGCCTTCATCAGGCTTCTACTCTTACTTTGAAACTGACCTCTGGAGATCATCACTGACTTCCATTGACCCTATCATTTTCCCTGATCTCCCTGGCTCTGTGTGTCTATATAGAAAATCTCTGGAAAGAATCTTTTATTTTTATTTTTTTAAGATTTTATTTATTTTTTTGAGAGAGAGAATATGTGCACAAGCAGGGGGGATAGGCCGAGGAAGAAGCAGACACCCCGCTGAGCTGGGAGCTCCATGTGGGGTCCATCCCAGGTCTCTGGCACAGATGCTTAATGGACTGAACCACCCAGGTTACTCAAGAATCCTTTTTTTATTTTTTCAAGCTTCTGGGTCGCTAACATAATTTCTTCTACCTCTTCAAATACCTTTCTTGGTTCTTTTTTGATAGCACTTTTATCTCCAGCCTCTATATGTAGAAACTCAGCCCTTAATCTCTCTATAGCTTCTCCTTTGGTAGGCTAATCATGAAGGCTTCAGGAGTCACCCACCTGTCTGTCAGTGACTCTGAAACACATATATTCTAGGAGTAGAACAAAATCTGACCATACCCTATGATTTCTATGCAAATCCTGTGGTCACAGCCTAAATTCTTATTACATTCCATTGTGATTGCTTATAAGTTTCTTTCCCTTCCTACTCAGAGCTCCTTGGAGGGCTGCCTACTTTACTATTATCTTCTGTATTTCCAGTGCCTAACACAGTGCCCAGCACATAATATATGCTTAATAAATAGTGTTTGAATGTAGGTGGATAAGGATGAGAAGAAACCAGAGAAAAGCGAACGTTGATTGGAGATCCTGTCACTATTTCCTGTTAATTAGCATAATATATGTATTTAAAATAGATATTTGGACCTGATATTTGGCCCTAAGTCTACCCCCGTGTTCAAGACAAGCTTCCATTTGGATTAAATTGTGCCTTTCAGCTTCCCCTTTTCTGTCAATTGCATCAGTGTTTTTCTAATTTGCAAACTCAAATCTGAGTCATCTTTTACTTAACTGAAGAACTCAATAATACCTAATTTATATAGTGCTTTCCAATTCACAAAAGTTCACATAATACATTGTTTTACTTATCCCAACCAAAGTCCCATGAAGTCCTTTTTTATAAATGATCCAGAAGCTCAGAGAGGTTAAGTGACTTGCTGACATAAAGTATTAAAAATTATGTTATTTGCAGGAAGCAGAGTGGCACTCAAGCCAGGTCTTCTGACTCGAAGTCCAAGTCTCACCTTAAGGTGTACCTGGGTGACCCAGTCAGTTAGGTGTCTGCCTTTTACTAGGTCATGATCTCAGGGTCCTGGGAGCAAGTCCTCAAGTAGGCTGAGCAGGGCGCCTACTTCTGCTGCTCCCCCTTGCTTGTGCTCTCTCTCTCTCTTTCTGTGTCAAATAAAGAAATAAAATCTTTTTTAAAAGTCTCACTTTATTGTCACACAACTGCCTATAATGTCATTTTCTTTGTTTTGCTGATGAGGAAACTGAGGTCTTCTAAAGTAAATTTTATTTTATTTATTTTTATAATTTTTTTAAATTTTTTTTATTTATTTATGATAGTCACAGAGAGATAGAGAGAGAGAGGCAGAGACATAGGCAGAGGGAGAAGCAGGTTCCATGCACCGGGAGCCCGACGTGGGATTCGATCCCGAGTCTCCAGGATCGCCCCCTGGGCCAAAGGCAAGCGCCAAACCGCTGCGCCACCCAGGGATCCCTAAAGTAAATTTTAGTAGCAGGAAAGAGTATCAATCTCAGAATACAGAAGAATGGTTGGATTTGACCCCAGTTTGGATTTCAGACTCCACCATCATCCTACTGCCAAAGTACCATTATCCCTTCTTGAAAAATTTCAAGATTACAGATGGATCAAAATGGGGAATGGAGTGTGTGGATAAAGGTGGAAACAAGAAAGCCCCTGTGTTGATAACTGTTGAACCTAGGTGACATGATGTATGTTTAAGTCAGGGTGGGGAGTGTTAATTATAGCATTCTACTTTTGTATGTTTGGAATTTTTCACAATAAATTTGTGAAAGTGCTTTTCTTTACTCTTCCTTGGCACAGCTGAGACAAGCTTTAAAAAAAATTCCAAAGACTGTTTCTAGATGCTAAGATAGAACAAAATGGAAATGGAGAAACAAGGAAGCATTTAAAGGGGGGGGGGGGTTGCAAAATAAAGATCTGTAATTTTGCCTGAGCTTGCCTATTCCAGATGGCATTACACTTATATTTTTCTTCTAAGAAAATTATATCCTAGACTCAAAGGACTGACCAGGCTTTTCAAGCACCTTGGGCAGATTCCTTACTTCCTAGTCCTGAGGCTGCCTGTGTACAGAGAGCACAACCTTGGGACCTGCTGTTGACTTTTTCTCCCCATCTGGGTAGGTCCAGTCCTCCCAGTGATGATTAAGGCCAAGTAGTCTTCCTGTGTTGCTGCCTTAGTGAGGTCATGACAACATATGTCTGTCCCTTTCTCCTGCCCTTGATTCTTTTCCAGTAATAATTCTGCGTAGAAGAGACATGACCATGTAGGTGTGGATACTTCAATATATTTACTTCACTGATGTGATAAGGTCAGCAGTTCTCAGATGCTCTCTCCACAAGAATTGGATGAACTTTTGAGTTTGTACTTCTGCATTTATTAACCTAATTTTTGGAGACCTTTTCCTCCTATGCAATAAATTCTCTTATCAGTTGTTCTCAGCCACCATTCTCCCATATATTTCTAAGTTTATCTCCCTAAAACAAAAAAGGAGCCCTTTGATGATTTTTCCCCTCCTATTACTTTGCTAATACTAATAATGTTCATATCCCCATTATAATTTTCCACACCAAGCTATTTAAAATATCAACTTAATAATCACTTCTTTCACAAAGTGAGTTCTCTCTGAACTAGGCATGGCTGTCATATCCAGAAGCTCTATTGGCCACTATTGAAAGCATTGGCCTCTTATTCTAGTGATTTTTTTAAATTTAAATATTTTGGGGGGCAGCCCGGGTGGCTCAGCGGTTTAGCACCTGCCTTCGGCCCAGGGCGTGATCCTGGAGTCCCCGGATCGAGTTCCACATTGGGCTCTCTGCATGGAGCCTGCTTCTCCCTCTGCCTGTGTCTCTGCCTCTGTGTGTGTGTGTGTGTGTGTGTGTGTGTCTCATGAATAAATAAATAAAATAATTTTTTTTTAGTAATCTCTACACCCAACATGGAGCTTGAACTCATGACCCCAACCAAGATCAAAGTCACATTCTTTTCTGAGCCAGTCAGATACGCCTATTCTAGTGTTTAAAGTTCTAGTATTCTGGGATCCCTGGGTGGCGCAGCATTTTGGTGCCTGCCTTTGGCCCAGGGCGTGATCCTGGAGACCCGGGATCGAATCCCACATTGGGCTCCCGGTGCATGGAGCCTGCTTCTCCCTCTGCCTGTGTCTCTGCCTCTCTCTCTCTGTGTGACTATCATGAATAAATAAATTAAAAACAGAAA